TCGGCGGCGCTGCTGCTGCTGCTGCCGCTTACACTACAAACAAAAGGTACGTCGTTTGATGCTTTAGCCCACTTTCCTACCCATGCATGATGAAACCCTAGCTTCAGAGGCTGTTTATGATCTACTTGATTATACCAATCACCGTTCTATCTTTTTTTCTGATTGATCCCTCCTCCCTCTTTTCTCACTTGACCTTCTTGCTGTCGAAGCTCATCGCTAACGAGAGAAAAGGTATGCACAAGCTCGACAAGTTCTTTCCAATTCCATGATGAAAACCTTAGCTTCAGAGGCTGTTTATGATCTCCATGATTATAACAATCACCGTTCTATCATTTTCTGACTTATCCCATATCTTACCATACGTCTTTGCGGATTCGTTCAAAAGTCTGATACTAACCAGAGACGCAGGTATTGCTCCATACAACCAACTGTATTTTTGCCCCGCACCATCGCATGATGAAAATCTAGCTTCAGAGGCTGTTTATGATTTTATGATTATAACAATCACCGTTCTATCTCTTTTCTGACCCTGTCATCCTTCATCGTCTTACATGGCCGCTTTAGAAGTGACATCGACTAACTTGGTATACAGGTACGACATCTTACTGAACGTCACTGCTTTTCATGATGAAAACCTTAGCTTCAGAGGCTGTTTATGATCTCTATGATTATACCAATCACCGTTCTATCTCTTTTCTGACATTGCCCATTTTCTATTTCAGTTACTGCGAATTTCCACAGCAGGATCTTGCGCTAACCGAGGACCTAGTAGAGGTTGGTGGCTTTATGAATAGCACTACCACTGGTGGAGAAAGAAAGGTGGCTCATGGCAGCGAAATACAAGATGTTTCCAAGCATGATGACGACCCCAGTTCTGTTTTTGAATATATGTGCAACGTGAAAACGCCTAGACAGTACCTAATTCCTGTACAATATTGTTGTCATCCATTCCCTTCCCAATTGTGAATAGCCCCAGCGCCGCCTGGCCAGTACCCGCCAACATATTTACATAACCCCCTTTACAGAAGCTTGACCGACTGAAAGAAGGGATTCGCCAACAGCTTCTCGTCTGACGCGACCAGCTCCCTCATCTTCTTGACCATGTCTTGTTTGCTCATTGCGCCGCCCTTGATCTCATCCTTCCACCGAACGAGCACGTCCTTAAGCATGGCGCTGCCCTCTTCGACGTCACTCTTGTTGTACTTAAGCCCGAGGTCTTCGTGCTTGGTCGTAAAGTCCTCAAGCTCGTCCGCCTTGCGCTTCGCCATGCGGACGACCTTGTCCGGGAAGCGCACGAGCTCGGCGACGTGGATGCCGAAGCTTTGGTCGCAGATGCCGTCTTCGACCTTGTACAGCAACGTCACCTCGCGCTTGGCGTCACCTTCTTCGCTTCCGCTAATGTGCGCCGTGACGTGGAGGTTCTTCACTTGGGCGTGTTGGTCGGCCAGCGCCGTGAGCTCGTGAAAGTGGGTCGCGAACATGGCGGAGCAGCCAATCTCCTTGACAATGTGTTCTGAAATGGCCCAGGCTAGGCCGAAGCCGTCATATGTCGACGTGCCGCGACCGAGCTCATCAATGATGATAAGGGACTCGGCTGTCGCAGACTTCAGAATGTTGGCTGTCTCGAGCATCTCGGCCATGAAGGTGGAGACGCCCTTGAGCTGGGAGTCGCTCGCACCGACGCGAGCCAGGATGGAGTCGAAGATGGTCATCTCAGCCTCCGCGCAGGGAACGAAGCAGCCGACCTGCGCCATGAGGGCGATGACGCCAATCTGGCGGATGTACGTCGACTTTCCGCCCATGTTGGGTCCGGTGATGATAAGGAAGGAGGACTTGTCCTTCGTGAGCTCCACATCGTTCGTGATGAACTGCACATCATCCTGCATCTCCAAACAAGGGTGACGTGCCTCTTTCAGCACTGTCTGGCCCTCGCCCCGTTTGTGCATCTTCGGCCGGACGTACTCGATCGGCGCGTGAACTGAGCAGTGGGCAAAAGAGATGATGACATCAAGGTGGGCAAGGACGCCGGCAAGTTTCTCGAGAACAGGGCAGTACGAGGCCGCAACTCCGACGACCTCGTTCACCAAGCTAGCCTGGGTTCTGTTGTAGTTTTGCGACTGCTGATCGAACTCGCGGCGTAGGTTCTGCAGGTTCCTGGTCGTGAAGTACACGCCGTTCTTCTGTGTCGAGCACTCCTGGTAGCCTGATTTGTTGCGGATACAGCCGGCTTCGGTCCTCGTTAGTCGCATGCAGTATCCGTGAACTTTGTGGTTTTCGAGGAATATCTTCTTCTCCTTCTCCTGTCCAAGATCGTGGGCGGCCTTGTTGAACTCCTGGTCAATGTCTCTCTTCGCCTTGTCAAGCTTTTTGCGAATGATGCGTAGACTGTCATCAAATTCAGGTTTGATGACGTACTCATGGCGATCAAGAGCGTCCAGATCGACCGTGGTCTCAACCATTTCCTGGAGCTTGACAAGGCTGTCGGAAAGAGTGCGGAGTTTGGAGGTGTATGCCTCGTCCAGAGGGTCCCGGTACGCCTCGTCCATCACACCTTCCAAGGTGCCGAGGAAGCCGGGCAGGCGAATGATGACCTGGTACGCCCGAACCACATCTTCCAGGTTGGCCTTCTTCCGTTGGAAACGCTTCGCAAGACGGTAAAGATCAGGGACTGAACGCAGGTGCTCCTCCTGCATCGTTTGGCGGAGTTCGGTGTCGCTGACGAAGGCCTCCACCAGCTGCTGGCGTCTTTCGATGTCTTGTTTGCTCATCAGAGGCTGCTTCAGCCACTGGGACAGCAAACGGCTGCCGTTGGGGGTCTTGCAGTGATTGAGCAGGCCGTACACGCTCATCGATTTCGCTCCGTCTCGGGGGCCTGGCATGAGGTTCAAGGCCTTGAGGGCTGCGGCATCGAGCTTCATGAATTGAGCCAAGTCGTGCTGGTACAACTGGTATTGTCCAAAGTTGGAAGGGTCATGTAGAACCCCCAGGTATTTGATGAGTGCGGCAGCAGATCCCATGGACAGCTTCATTTCCGTCTGAGGCAGAAGTGTGACAGCCCTTTCGTCCTTGAGCAGTCGGGCGAGGTCCTGTTCGATGTCTTTGGTCCCAAATTCGACTGCCGACCGCTCTGAGACAGCCACACCGCAATTGTCGATGATTTGTCGCAGCTTGGTGAGTTCAGGATCTCGCTTATCCTTCTCCGCCTTGTCGGCCTGTATCAGACACTCCCGGACACCGAGCTGAATCAAGAGAGCCTCGAAATTCGAGTAGAGGTCATTGTCGAGGAATTCGCTGACACCCAGTTCTCGGACGCTAGCGTCGGCGAAGCAGACACCGACGCTGCGCGCCTCGGAGGCCTTGGCTGTAATCTTGACGGCCAGGATCATAGGAGCTGCCTCAAATTGCCCTCCGAGCTCTTCCTCAACATCTTGCAGGTTTCCGGGCGAGGCTTGTTTGACGACCTTCCAGTTCATGCGACCACTTGTGCTTTGGTAAATCTCCACGCGCTTGCTGAGCTTGTAGAGGGCTTCTCGGAGGAATTGTCGGAAAACGGTCACGGTCATGGTGACAGACGGAAGGCCGGTCTTGTCATCTCGTCCTAGTTGTCGAACGACTGATGTGGTTTTATAGACCTAGTGGCGTCAGGACACTGTGGGTAGGTGACGGGTTGTAGACAACGTACTGTTCTCGCGATGAAGTTGGCATCTTCACCATGTGCTGTGTACCAATCACCTCGGTCAAAAATCCGGATCGTGTCCTCATGAACCTCTGGAAGGGACTTGAAGTATCGAATGAAGCCATGCTCATCGTCGACCTGGTAACCAGTCAACAAATCGCCCGTTGCCTGTCATGTAAAGATGGCGTACCTTCAGCTCGGGTCGCGAAGACATATTTGTGACTCAAGGATTGGAAATGTGCGGAAGGTTGTTTAGAGAATATAGAAGCATGGGAACCAATTTGGGATATGTATTCGGCTTTTGCGAGATGATTGCCTCCTCGAACATTGAATTGGAGAGCCTTAGAACTTTGGGGCGGCCGTCGCGTCTTCAACTCCCCATTAAACCGACGACGCGACGTGAGTGCGCTAGTCCTGTCCTGGTCAGTACCCTTGACCGCCTTCAATCTGCCGTGAACCTGGGCTGTGACGCAGGCGAAATTTTGTCGCTTCCCCCACTTTCTTCTTCACGGCACTTTCGACCATCTCATGTGATGTCGGCATCTGCGATGGATAACACAACTTCCCGACACAGCCAATGCGCCTGCAGCTGAGG